TCCTTCTTCTTTATGAAGTATACCACAGTGTGTAAGGGCACAAGCATTATGCGGATCCAACCTGATCGCTTCAGAAAAACAATCGAAAGCTAGATTCCCTTTGTTCTGCGTCTGCAAGCATATCCCTTTTCCAATGTGAGCTTCAACATTCTTGCTATCTTTCTCCAGCATAGCCTCATAGAGAGCAAGCGCATCAGCAAACTTGTTTCTTGCCCGAAGAATATTGGCATAAGAAAGTGTATCGTTCCCCTGAGTGACCTTTCGTGATGGAGACAAAACACCTGCGCTAGAAGAAGAAGACCGAGACCCATTGGAAAAACCATTCTCTACGACTGGTGACCTCTCTCTCTCAGTATCATCTTCCAGTCCCACCATTTTTTTGTAACTAAAATCTTGTTCACCTTCAAAGAAACAATTATAAATATCAAATCAAAGGTGGAAGAAAAATAAACCTTGCATTGTTGACATAAATATGAAGCTTCAACGAAGCTAAAGATTTGATCTTTAACAGTATCAAACCCAACTCATCACATTCAATTCCAAAAAAAAAAAAAAAAACTAAGATTCACACAAATATGCAAAAAGATCAGACCTTTGGGATGTAAACCCTAGAAATTAAACTAAAAGAAACGATTAAGCAGAAGAATGCATATGTAATTGAGAGTAAACACGAACAGATTAAACAACAAGGTCCGATACTTAGGGTTTAACGATTACTTACCACAAAACCTGAAAAGAGGAACTTGACTCTGTAGCGACGAAACCTCTGGAGCCGCTAGAGAAGAAATCGAGTGGCTAAAGAAGAATGATATGTTTGAGTAGACATAAGAGAAGCTGATCTCCGCCTCGCTCCTCCGAAAACAGAAAGCGTTGATCAGTATACCTCAGAAGCCAAGCCTAAGCGGTGGAGTCGTCGCTTGGCCGTGAATGGATGGAGCGGAGGTGGCGGCGACGGCGTAGCCTCTATTATAAGCTCGAGGACAAATGAAAGAGGTACGAGGTCGGTCCGAGCCAGTGGACAGAGGCAACGACTCAGATTAGCTCTCCTCGCTTTTCCTTTTTTTTTCTTTCCACAGCTCAGATTGTTATTTTATTTTATTAGAAACGGACAAAATAGATAACAGTAATCATTTTGCAAAAATAAAAAGGAACAAGGTAAATTAATTAGTCATTGTAATAAAGAAACAAAAATCTCCAGATATGCAAGAAAATATATGTTTTATGTTTTATTTCATACAAAATCATCTGAATTATGTCCAGCCATTTAGGAGATTTGATGTTTTTTTCATGGACTATGAAACTAGTCTAGAGTTATAAAACCCTCTTGTGTAAAAAAAAAAAAACGTTATAACTTCTCTAGTTCTATTGAAGCCAGATTGATTGATGAGTTATGTTATTATTGACATATCTATCATTTACTCAATACACTCACACGTAGAAAAAAGTTGACTTCGAAAATATTGGTTAAAAGAAACTACAAAATTTGTTTTACTCACAAAGTTGATAATGTCCAAAACATAATTTTTCACGATTGTTTTATTTGGACAAAATAAAAATCATTGTTCTACCGAAAAATAAATAAATAAATTCATTCTCATTGTCTTAATTTTTTTACGAAATTATGAAGTGGGAAATGGATCAAGTAAGTTTCACAAGTGGGAGTCCAATAGTTAGGATCATGTCGGCCTCGTCCACTTGCGTTCTCCTTGATTTAACGATCACTTGCTTGTCTCAGGTCTCAACTAGTGGTGACGTCAATTCATTTGGTATTCATTGGACTATACACTTTTTTTCATTGTCAAATAATTGGACTATGCTACTTAAATAATATACAGCTACTCAGAGAGACTTTTACTCCAAAACGAAAGAGCCCCTTTTAAACAACACCTTATTATTTGGAGCAAAACAAAAAACAACACCTTATTTAAGTAAGAAATTAGTAATGGTACATCACAATGGCATCATAATGAACAACTGATAAACACTTTTGAATCGTCACCAGCAGCAGCATGTCATAAACGCACCAACCATGATAGCATAGATCGTGAGGTGCGCAATACCATTACTTCTCGAAGACATAGAAAGCATTGGAAACAACTTATGCTACTTTGGATCCATTAATCTCTCCTGATTAACTACTCTTTATCTTAACCTTGTTTTTATTTCTTTTTGCCAAGGTTAATTTAATTTAGGTAATACGTCTCTTGTAATACCAAACATTTCATTTCTAATGATATTTACATTCTTAGCAAAAAAAGAAAAAAAAAAAAAAACAATGATAGCATAGATAGTGTATTATGATGGAGATTTACGTACTCTAACTAAAATTATGGAAACGAATCAACTCAACTTATGGTTGCTTAATAGTTTAATAATACTTTTTCGTTGATGCAGTTTCAATCATAGTTGATTGCATTTAAATAACAAAAAATGAAAAGAAAAAAATATTTAGCATTTCACATATTTTGATGATTGGTATGAACTTTGGTTAAAAATTTCAGTTATAAAATCATTTTTATTACGTATGATTTAGGAATGAGTTTTATGTGGTTCTTGCAACCCAAATTTTGATCGTAATTTTTTTTTCATGTCATTTAGTTTGTGATATTTTAAAATCGACTACTAGCTGTATTATCAAAACCACAATCCTGGAAACCAATTATAACCAAAATAAACCAACCAAACCAAAAAGATGAAATCGATGAACGGTGAGAAAACCAATTTTGACCGGTCACTAATTTTCATTTTGCTCTCAAATCGCGACTCCTCTCTGGGCTCTCTCCTTCTGTATCTCTCTAAGGGGAACAACGAAATCATCACCTTCTCTTTTATCGTCACCGGCGATCATTCAAGACTCGATCTCCGGTAATCAGAACATTTTCATTCGCCGACATGGCGATGACCATCGAAGGTAATCAATCACCTATCTTCCAACTGTATCATTTCCCGACGGAATCGAATCAGATTCAAGTCGATTTTCCCCTTTTACTTTTCTCCCTTGCTCTATGTTCATATATTCCATACGTATTAGAGATTGGTATTGATTTACTCAGATTATAGTTATTTTGTGCTTCGTGAATTGTTTAATTTTGTGAGCTAGGGTTTCTGGGTTTTGAATTGTTCAAACTCACTCATTGTTTGCTCTTTTCTAAATTTTTTCCGATGCTGATTTCTTCTGGAATGCTCAAATTGCTTTCTTGGTGCAGTGTAAGTTCTAAGACTTGATGCTCTTTAATTACCCTTGTTGTTACATCTGCCAGTGTATTCTCGTGTGTCGTGATCTTACAGATTTTATTTTTCTTGATTGCACAGACTTGCTGGACTTGCTTTCATGTTTTCATCTAGTATCCTCCTACAGATCCTGGTACGTTTCTGAATATAGCTATCTGCTTATAACCCTTGAAGCTTGATCATAAGATCATGACTTAGTAGCTTTAAATCCTGCAAGAGATGGTTAGCTAGTTCTGCTGTTAGGTTGTGAGCTGAGTATACTGGTCTCCTTTTGTACCCTTGTTGATGTAGCAAACAGAGTTGTGAGTCTTTTGGCCCGTTTTACTGGGAGAGATACTCTGTGAAGTAAAGTTTGTTACATTCAAACCTTCTTTCATATTTGAAGTTTTGAGCTTTACTCTCTTGTAGTATGTTGACTAGCGATCTCTGGATCCCAAAAACCAAAATTACACTTAGAATTCTTATCCTTACAACACTATTTGACCGGAGCATATGGTAAGCTGGGGTCCTTAGCCGACCTCAATGTCTAACTTGTTAATTGACTTAGACTTTCTGAACAACTTCTATAAACTCAAGCATCTTCTCTCCTCAGCTTATATCAGGTCCTTGTATAGGTATAGTTTTTTTTTTTTTTTGCACTTCGATTAGAAGAAGAAAGGATCATCTGATTTACAAATCTGATACGTTTCCCATATTTTGTGATTTCCTTTGGTATACCTGGTTATACCATGCAATGAGTAACACGTGTTATAGTCATCTGGGAGATATAGTGATAACTATTTGTTCATAATGGTCAGGCATGCGCGATATATGGTAACTGGTGGCCAATGCTATCAGCACTCATGTATGTAGTGGTGCCTATGCCTTGTATGTTCTTTGGAGGAGGCTCAACCCAATTCCTTATTAGTCGGGACGGTGGAGGGTTAGTTACTAGAGACTTTATTGCTTCTTTGAGTTAAACGAAAGATCGATTACCAAATTGGCTCGTCCATAAAACGCAGGTGGATAGACGCAGCGAAGTTCTTGACCGGAGCGTCGACCGTGGGAAGCCTTGCTATCCCAATCATCTTAAGGCACGCACAGATGATCGAGACAGGTGCAATGCTCATAGAGTTCACATCATTCTTCATATTCATTTGCACTGTCATGTGTTTTCACCGGGCTAGTCTCGATGATGACTGGTAACGTAGATGTTGCTGCTCGTGAATTACTAATTGGATTCGTATGAGAAAGAGAGTGTGAAGAAAAGATGAGGTTACTATGAGTGGTTAAGAAAGTTGTGTTCTTCTCCCTCTTTTTGTAAAGCTTTGTATCACTCAATGTTTGTAAAAAGTTTTATTCATCACTGTGAATCTTTTCCTGAAACTAAGTGCCAAAATATTTTGTTTCGCATGTTTAGGAAAAAGTTTAATTCATCATTGTGAATGTTCCCTAATCCCTAGATTAGCTTCGAGAGATTAAAAAAGAACGGTTCAACTGTAACACGTGGTCATGAAATAATGTCCGAAGGCCCTTCAGATAATAAAAGCCCATGAACTACAAAAGCTTCCTTCATAAGGGTAGAAGCGTAATTTTAAAAAGACCCCTTTCATATATATATCCTTGCGATTATTATTAGCCGTCATCGTCTAGGGTTGGTTGTTCTGCAATTTAGTTTTTTTTGTGTGTTTTTTATAATCTGCAGCATCGTTTCTTATAATCTGAGGAATTGTTTTTCAGACTGCACGATCGTTTAATTTTGTTACGTTGGTTGTTTCTTTGAAGTGAAAAACGGCGAGGGATGATGATTCAATTAGATGTGCGAATGGTTTCATCATGAGCTCAAAAACTTTATTTGGCATTTTATAATCTGACTTCGCCGTCAACTCTTTTTTTTTTTGTTTTTTCTATTGAAAATTTGGAGGAATGGTAAATGGATGATGATTCAATTAGATGTGCGAATGGTTTCATCATGACCTCAAAAACTCTATTTGGCAATTTATCTGACATCTCCCATTTCTCTATGTTCAATCCAATGTATCTCCTTTATGTGGTTTTAACTCGATATTGTTTTATTGTCTGCGAAATGTTTGATAATGATGAGTTAACTTTTATAGAGTGTTACATAATTATTTTACTTATTCATATTGTAGTTACGCCATTGAAAAACAGTTTGATTGTTTATCTGTTTGGAGTTTGCGTTGATATATGATGTTTATCCCTTTTGTAATGATGTGACTTGCAAATTGATATGTAACCTCAAGATTAAGCATAGAGTTATTTATTTCGAAGTTTACTAAATTGCATTAAGTAATTTTGTGGCCTTGTGATTTAATTAAGAGACCCATGTTCATTGGATAAAAAGCACTATCTTACAACAATGGTATATTAATAAAGTGAGAATGCTACCTTTCTTGTAAGGTGGTTCATATAAAATATAAATTCAAACAAAAAACGAACGACCAATCTTTAATCGTTTACATGAACTGTGTTGTGCTAATAAGGTGATAACAATATTTAAACGTTGCTTTGACTCCCTTAAAAAAGAAAAGAAAACCAATTATAGGAAGAAATCAAACTCCAAACTTGTCACTAATGGGAAGAAATAAACCAGTAATTAAAACTCGGACCTTGTCATTAAGTGTGTGAAAGGCGTGAATCTTCACAATCCTATAAGACAAAACCTCCTTATCCACCGTTAGATTTAAAGTTCATCATCCAACGGCTAGAAGTCTAATCCCGCTAATAATTTGACCGTTGCGATTATGCTTTTAATGGCTCCTCCTCTCTTCTCTATCCCTTAAGCGCTCTCTCTCAAATCTCAATCATCCTTCTTCTCATCTAGAAACCCCTTATCTTGGAGTAATCAGAGAGTTTGAAAACACCAGAAATCATGGCGACAGGACCAGTTGTTCATCCTCAACCAGTTAGAGGTTTGTTTCTCCCCTCTGATGAATCTTTGTTTTAACTCTAGGATCTGCATAAAAACTCTCATCTATGAATCCTTTTATTTAGATGTTATCAAAGATTACTTACAAATCTGTTTTCCAAGGATCCAAATCTTGATAGGTTGCTTTTTGTTAAAATTTATCAGGTGATCCCATCGACCTCAAAAACGCAGCAGCAAAGAATCGTCGTGCTCTTGGCGACATTGGAAACGTCGATTCTCTTATTGGAGTCGAAGGAGGAAAGCTTAACCGCCCCATTACTCGTAACTTTCGTGCTCAGTTGCTAGAAAACGCACAAGTTGCAGCCGCCGCTAACAAAAAGGCTCCGATTCTTGATGGAGTTACTAAGAAACAAGAAGTTGTAAGAGCGGTTCAAAAGAAAGCAAGAGGTGATAAGCGTGAGCCGTCAAAACCAATCGAAGTGATTGTGATAAGTCCTGATACAAACGAGGTTGCTAAAGCTAAAGAGAACAAGAAGAAAGTGACATACTCTTCGGTTCTTGATGCTCGAAGCAAGGTAGATTCTTTGTTCAACATTGAAAGCATAATGTGCAAAGTTCTGATTATTTGGTTTTGTGATTGGTGTACACACTTAGGCTGCTTCTAAGACTTTGGATATTGATTATGTCGACAAAGAAAATGATCTTGCTGCTGTGGAATACGTTGAGGATATGTACATTTTCTACAAAGAAGTTGTGGTACACTTACAGTGAAACCTTCTTTTGTTTATGCTTATGGATAAGTTATGTGAATGTCTTCTTTAAGTTTGTTGTTTTGTTCTTTGTTGCAGAATGAGAGCAAACCTCAGATGTATATGCATACACAACCTGAGATTGATGAGAAGATGAGATCAATCCTTATTGATTGGCTTGTAGAAGTTCATGTCAAGTTTGATCTCTCCCCTGAGACTCTTTACCTCACTGTCAACATAATTGATCGTTTTCTTTCTCTGAAGACTGTGCCTAGAAGAGAACTACAGCTTGTAGGTGTTAGTGCTTTGCTTATAGCTTCGAAGTACGAAGAAATCTGGCCTCCTCAGGTCAATGATTTGGTATATGTGACTGATAACTCCTACAACAGCAGACAGATTCTAGTGATGGAGAAAACCATTTTGGGGAATCTTGAATGGTACTTGACAGTTCCAACACAGTATGTGTTCCTTGTGAGGTTTATTAAAGCCTCGGGTTCTGACCAGAAACTGGAGAACTTGGTTCACTTTCTAGCTGAGTTGGGTTTGATGCATCACGACAGTTTAATGTTCTGTCCTTCCATGCTTGCTGCATCAGCGGTCTACACAGCAAGGTGTTGCTTGAACAAGACTCCTACTTGGACTGATACACTGAAATTCCACACAGGCTACTCCGAATCTCAGCTCATGTTAGTCTTCTTAATTCTTTACACTAGCAAGTTTGTGATCATATTGTTTGTATATTAAATTCTCTATGTGCGTTTCTGTGTGTAATCAGGGATTGCTCAAAGCTTTTAGCTTTCATTCACTCGAAAGCGGGGGAGAGCAAGCTACGTGGTGTGTTGAAGAAGTATTCGAAACTTGGAAGAGGTGCTGTTGCTCTGATTTCACCAGCCAAGTCTCTTATGTCATCTGCTCCATGAACAAGGCTTGAAAGATGGCTCTCTTGCAAACTCTGCATTTTAGATTCTCTATCTTTTATCGTTTTATATGTAAAGGTATTGGTTCTTGTTGAGAAATGATGTTTCCGTATGAATTCAAAAGTATTATAATGAAATTCTTCTTCTCTTCTATAATCAGAATCGTTTTGGTCCTTTTTCCCATCATATTCTTTAACTATGGAGTCAAATTCAAATTACATAGTTATCTGTTATAACTTGAAAACTTCTTTGTTCTTCATAAGACCAAGTACGATGGTACGATCAAGGTGAAGTTGTTCACATTTGTCAAATAATAATTTCCAATAAGAAATCTGGTGAATTTTGTTACTTGTCAAAAAAAAATCAAGAAAATTAACAAGACTAATAGTAATAATCGAACGACGACGTAATGTTTAAGAAAAAAAAACACCAAACGACGACGTAATGGGTAATGAAAGTGATGAGGGTATTTACGTCAATTCATAGAGGTACTCCGATGTAACCCTAATATATAACTTGCATTTGTAGCGCCGTGAGTGTCCTTCTTGTTTACACTGAGCAGAATCTAAAAACACTTATCGTTTCGTCTCTTCTCTGATCCATTGTTGAAGATGGTAAGCTCTTTCTCTCCAACATTTTTCTGTTCCAGATCATTTGGTTTTCGTTAGTCTGTTAGGAAATTGAGATCTGCGATTTCACTTAGTCCTGCTAGTTTCCGATGTTCCATACTTATACGTTTGTTTCAGCTATGCAAAATTGACTTATTGATCTTGGCTTGTCTGATTCATAGTTTAGGGGTTGTCTGATTAATCTCCATGTATTGATATTGAGCTGATGGTATGTAATTATGGTTAAATACCAGTGAACAATTTGTTTCTCAAATGTGTTTTGTTCTCTCTGTATATAATAGTCGAAGAGAAAAACTAAGGAGCCAAAGGTTGAGACTGTGACTCTTGGACCTTCTGTTCGTGAAGGAGAGCAAGTTTTTGGTGTTGTTCACATCTTTGCATCTTTCAATGACACTTTCATTGTAAGTTTTTTCTCATTTATTCTTAGCGTTTGTGTAATATAACCTTCTGTGTAATGCGTTTATGACATTGCTTTCAATATTTTGCAGCATGTGACTGATCTCTCCGGTAGAGAAACTCTCGTCCGCATCACCGGTATGTTTCCTAGTAGTGAATTTTATTACCTGTGTTTATGTTAGTGTAAAATTCATTTATATTTCGAGAAATATAATGATTATGTGACCTTTTGCAGGTGGCATGAAGGTGAAGGCTGACCGTGATGAGTCCTCTCCTTATGCTGCTATGCTTGCAGCTCAAGATGTTGCTCAAAGATGCAAGGTCTGAAATGATTCGATGTCCATGCCTTTTTTTAATTGACTTTGAGGTTCTGGATGATAATCTATAATGGTTTATGTGACAGGAGCTTGGCATCACTGCCATGCACGTGAAGCTCCGTGCTACTGGAGGAAACAAAACCAAGACTCCAGGTCCTGGTGCTCAGTCTGCTCTTAGAGCCCTTGCTCGTTCTGGCATGAAGATTGGTCGTATTGGTAAACACACAAACTTAGTCTCACTCAAGTTGTTTTGTTTTGTTTTGTTATGATTGCTCATTGGAAGCTGAATCTTTCTTGAATGCATTTTGCAGAGGATGTGACTCCGATTCCCACAGACAGTACACGCCGAAAGGGTGGACGAAGAGGAAGAAGACTCTGATTGCACGATGAGGCTCATCATCGTTGCAATGTGCTCTTGAGACTGTGGGTATTTTCTTGGGTACACTTCGAAGTTAGTTTTGTCTCTCTCCAATTTATCTTTCCAGTTGATTTGAGAACATTATAAGCTGTGTTTTTTTGTATTTGGAGTTTTTGGTGTTGAGAAAAAAAATGTTAAGTTACTGATCGCGTCGTGTTACTGTTAGTTGGCTTATTGATATTTTACATTTTCTCTCTTTTTAACTTTGGCGAATGGATACTTTATCGAGATATTTAATGCTATGGTTGCTCATCAGAATCAGATTAGAAAGTCCGATGCAAGTTTTAGTATGTCGTGCTGGTTCCGAAATCAAACCAAGCCAGATCGTTGTTAACTTGTCATAATCTGTTTTTGAGGCCCAATTATTCAACCAAAAAAGTCAATTTTAAGAATGAAAAGAGTTGATTTGTGGCATGTGGTGAATGCAATTAACAACTATACGAGAGATTGTATGATAAAGACATCAAATATCCCAAGTCCGGCTTTTGGAATTCTTGATTAGAATGTTATCGCTTAGATTGTGTTGAATGGCATCTCTTGCAAGAAAAAGAAAACAGATTAGCAGATT